GGGAGATGATCCAGATAGGGGAGTCCAGAATTGAGACAGGGAAGGGAAGGCAGCCAGTCAAAGGAATGTTCTAAAGCCACTTGTCACTGTGGACAACTAGAGCTTGATCCTGCTGAGAATTGGAACCAACAGTGTAGAACACACCTCAGAGTTATCACACTCGAGTGGGTAGGGAGCTGAGTGAGGTTGAGGGCTACTTCAGATGTTGGTTGAGGGTTTCTTCTGGGGGAAAGAGCTGTATTAATTCTTCAGCATATCCAGCCTTCAGTATCTGGGCAGAGCACTCTTTCTCAGCTTTGCTGTGGAAGTTGTTTAGCATGAAAGGGATTGGACCCCAGGAATGTGGGTGGAGCATTGATGTCTTGGGAAACACCCCTTGTCCATATTTCTCCTTCTCCATTTACTAATTAGATACCCAATACTAGGTACTGCATATTTCATAAGTATCACAGTTAATCCACTTAACCATGTAAACTAGTATTGTTTTTATTCTCCCATTTTGCATATTGAGACTGAAAGAGGTTAAGGAATTTCCCTGAGGCCACAGAACTCATGAGTGGTGAAGGTGGGCTTCAAATTTAGGTCTTTAGGGCTTAGAATACCCTGGCTGCCTGTGGTAAGCAAATGTCATCACATTAGTATTTGGCTGATGCAACCTTTCTCAACACATTTGATTGGTATCTATTTGTTTGGTAGTATTTTTTTAAATCCTTACTTGAGGATATTTTCTCACTGATTTTCAGAGAAAGTGGAAGAAATATCGATGTGAGAGAAACACATCGATTAGTTGCCTCCTGCATGTGCCCTGACCAGGACCCGGGCCTGGGAGGAGCCTGCAACTGAGCTATATTCCCATGACCCAAATTGGAACCCGGGACCCTTCAGTCCACAGGCCAATTCTCTATCTACTAAGCCAAACCAGCTAAGACTTTGATTGATAGTTGATGAGCCTTCTCATGAAGCTCTTGGTTACCATGACCTATGGTTCCTTCACAGAGATACTGCTCATGATCTTGTTTCCATGTACACATCAATCCATTTGAATCCAGAACTTCATTTCTGGCTTTTGAAGGGAAGGACTGTGCCCTGTAAAAGGTGGGGGAGGAGGGAGTCAGTTTGCCCTTTCTAATACAGAAATGAACATGCTAGACATGTAACCCCAGTTATGATCTCAGCTTCTCCCCTAACATCTGTGTGAACTTAGATTGATTTATTTATCTGTAAATTAAGGATAATGTTCTATGTTATGGAGAAGCAATGAAAAAGCAACAACTATATACAGTATATATTTACAATACTTGATAAAGATGAGTTCTAGCTTTAAAATCAGAATACTTAAATTATTGGGTTGATCTCAAAAAGGATTGAGGCTTCCCTTTCCTCCTGCCTAACCTTTCATCCACTAACTTGTAACTCCTTAGTGATCAGGACTATGTATCTTTGTTCTTTCTGGAACTAGGGCTAAATATGGTAGCCAGCACATGGTAAGAGCTGAACATATGTGCTTTTTTTTTTTTTTTTTTTTTTTTTTTTTTTTTTTTTGCATGTGATGGATCTGTTAATACATTTTCCAGTATTAAAACACAGTCCTTATAATGAGACAACCTCCCAGCAGGCAACAGTTCCTCAGGGCACCCTGCACCCTCCCACTGCCAGACAGTCTCCTTCTTGCATTCCTATGGCTTGCTGAACCTCACTGAGCCTTAGAGGAGGGCACTGAATTGTCTCTGAAATTTTCCAGAGACTAAATATTTAAAAAATTAAGTTATGCCTACTAGTATATCAACTTTCACACAGATTCTTTTGTGGATGATTTTGTTCAGGGTCTTCAGTCATGACAGATGCATATATCCGATCAACAAACACTCATTAAGTGACAGGTCTAGGCACTGAGGACACAGAGGGGATTACATTTTCTCCAACCCTAACCCCTGGTCTAATGGAGAAGACAGAAGAAACCGAAATTGCTGGAGGCAAGGCCTTATGTACAAAATGCTGCTGCAGTGCCAAGGACTACATCAGTTGTTGCATTGCTCAAGCTGGGCTTAGATATGCTGGGTAACAAATAGCCCCTGAATCACAGTGGCAAGAAAAAGAATAAAAATGTTCAATTTTACGTATGCTACATGTACAAAATGTACGTATTAGGGGTGTGGGCTTCTGATATCAGTCACTCAGGGATCCAGGCGGATGGGAGATTCACCCCAACATATGTTTCTATGAATGCTTAGACAAGAAAAGGCAAGCCTGTCCAGAAATAGAACATGTTGTTTTATTCACATTCTATTAATTGAAGCAAGTTGTGGGACTCCACCTAGCCTTGAAGGATGCCCAAAGGCGTACTCCTTCCAGGTCTCTGGAATAAGGAGAATGGGATATTTGTGAACTGCCTGAATGGCCACCCAATTTGGAATCCAGTTGTTGGGGAGATTACTGAAGTGTCATTTCTCAGCCAATAGTTCTGTGTGTTTTCTTTTCCTGGGAGAAAGAACAACTGAGTACATTCACACTTGTGTTCACTTTCTCTTTCATGGACCCTGGCCTGGTGGACACAGGCCATAGGGAGAGAAATGGCACAGCTCCTGTCCTCAGGGAACTGTCGGTCCAGTTGAGTCAAAGGTACAATAGGCAGCAAATGGCTGCAGTTTGGTTGGAATATCATGTGTGAAGTGCTCATGCAGTACAGGAGGGCCACAATAAGGTGAGGAAGGCTCTGTGGGAGGCTAGTCCTACACCTGCTGGCAAGGTTTCCCCACTGTTCATGTGAGGGGCAGAAGGAGCAACAGGCTTTATGAGGGAGCACAGGACAGATGAATGCAGAACTGTGAAGTCACCCCATCACTATAGGGGACGAGCTGGGCAGGGTCAGGACTCCAAATTCTTGGGGCAATTCCCAAAAGGCAGTCAGTCAAATTCACTAGATATTTTGGTATAAAAGCCCCCTGGAATGAGACAACTCACTGAGATTGCCTGGCTCATATTCCTTCTGCTCAGATGTGCTAAGGAGCTGGGTGTTAGTGGGTGTTGATCTTCATCTTGGCTGCTTCATTTGATCAATAGGCAATTAGTATGTCCAAAGATGCCATGAATGTCCCTGCTGCAGGTGTGTGGTTTGTGTTTTGTTTTTGTTTTGTTTTTTTCCAAAGAAAGCAGAAAACACATTTCATCTCCAGCAAACCTCCATTTAGATTCATCAAACCCAGGCCTCAGGAAAGCATCCAGGAGAGAGGAGCGAGCCGCTGATTGCTGTTGCCTAGGCAAGGGGAATTCACTGGCTTTGGGTGCAGTGGTTTCTATGGGAACAGCACTGCTTGACTTTGCTGGCCCCCTGGGGCTGGTGAGATGTACAGAAAGGAAAACTGAGAGGAAGAAAAAAAGAGTTCTGGCTGAAGTTGCTCAATGGTTGAAACATCAGCACCCCATCAGCTTGTGAGAGGCACTAGAAGCCCCACCTTGTTTTAAAGATGAGGAAACTGAGTCCAGAAAATGCTGGACAGAGCCTTTCGGTCCAGTGAGCTACCCTGCCTCCTCCATATGCTCTTGCATTGCACAGCTGCAGTTCTTCTGAAAACACCATCTCCCAGATGTGTTAGTGGCTTGAGTCAGAGTCAGCCTCTGGGGAGTTTGCTTGGTCCTGGGGAAGCAGCTCAATGCTCTCTTTGGTAGCTCTGTTCTTGAACTGTTGGGCAACCTGGGCAAGGCTGACATTCTCCCCCCGGTCAGTGCCCAGGGTCAATTCCCTTCAGCGTTTTTCATCCCACAGAAACCTTTACTAGGTGTCTGCTGTGTGCAATTACTGTTCTCTGTGTTCCTGGGAGTAGTAAGGAGGAGCCTCGGGCCATTTGTCAGATGGCCAGTAGGCAAACTGAGGCTAAGAGAGGAAAATACACGCCACCAAAGGACAGCCGTGGGAGTGCTGGCGTCGAGTTCCACATCTCCAGATGCACAATTGAGCCTTTCCTTTGCCCCAGGCTGACCACTTCCTTAGGAAGGTTAAATACAATCATTCCAACTGCTTTAGAACCACAGCAAAGCAGCACTTCATGAAATAGCGGCATGTGCATTGATAGGCTGTGTGGATAGTGCCTAAGCAGGGACTGATGAGATCAGTACTAATCATTAGGGGCCTCTCCCAATGAAGCTACTGCCCAGCGGGTCTCCACTGAGGGCTCTTACATGCTCTGTGACCTGGATGACGTGGTAATGTCCTTTACAAATGAGCCACCATGCTGGGTTCTGTGGATTAGTCGTTAATATAACAACATGTTACCATGTCGCTAACTAGGGTGCAAATCTTAATATCCAGACCCTGCCATGCTGGGTTCAGAATGCAAGTCCCAACAGCAGTTTATCCAGACCTTTAAGCTTGGCTCAGGGCCTCCCTTCTGCCACCTCCACCCCACACTCACTGCCATGTGCTGATGCCAGTCATACATGAGCAAGTATGGTCTCTTGTTCCTACTCATAAAGACACCCTGCACTTCCTCTCTCCCAGTTCCTACACAAGGGAGGCTTGGAAGATGACAGGGGTGGGGGACACCGGCTGTAGTGGACACTGGGCATTGCCACATCATATATGTGGATGGTTTCCTGAGGTACCTGTGACTCTGTCCAGGCCCTTTTCTGGTCCCAGGAACTAGACTTAGCCATTGCAGGGCTGGATGGTAGTTCATGTATTTTCTCACTAACACTTTAAATTGTGACCTGAAGACCACCCGATGGTGAAGTGCTGAGTGAATTGAGTAGTATGCATAATGGATCATGAAAATATCTGGGGGCAGAGTCTCAGGTGCTTTAACACAACTGTAGTTTGTTGCTTACCTTCTAATCTGCAGGAAACACCAATTCCCAGTTCAAGGTCTGTGAATAGAAAGATATCATTTTTTCTCTTCCAAGTTCATGGACCCCCTATTACCATGAGGACTGGCAGACTGTCCTGACCCCCAGCACAGAGAATGCTGTTATCTGTACTGAGTTGGTTTTCTCTCTCTGTTCTTCAGCCCTGCATGAGTTCCCCAGTGACATCTTTACCAACGAGGACCGGAGACAGGGAGCAGTGGTTCTCCATGTGCTCTGTGTAAGTACCTTCTCGTCACTTTTCTGGAGGGTCCTCGGAGAGGCCTGGCTTGGGGGTGGGCAGTGGTGCCGCACCAGCATCCTCCCTTCCTCCTGTGGGAGCCTTGTGGAGGCAATTTCTCAGTGTACCCTCTTTATAAGGCCATGGGTTCATAAGCTGACAGGCATCTGTATATATTCTGTTCTTGATATCTCACCCAAAGCATGGACTCCAAGGTCAAACAGACCTGCTCCACACTACTTAATTATGCTCTCGCTCTCTGCTCAGATGTCGCCCCTTTGGGCAACCCTTTCCTAACCAGCCTTTATATTGTTATACTAGAGTCCCAGTGCACAGATTCCTGCACTGGTGGGGTCCCTCAGCCTGGCCTGCAGACATCCCCCAATGGGTGCCAGATTGTAAGAGAGTGCAGGCAGGCTAAGGACCCCACTGGTACACGATCTGGGCCAGGGAGGTGCCATGGGAGGTTGGCCGGCTGGAGAGGGTCTGCTGGAGGACTCCAGGGCTTGTCCGACACGTCTCACCCAGTCCCCATCTGCTGGACCCCAGTAACAAGCTAATCTATTGGTCAGATCTTCTGTCCCCCCGGTGGTCAGTGCGCATCATAGCTACCAATTGAATGGTTGCTTAGGCTTTTATATAGATAGATGATCATTTACTTATTGTCAACTTCACTGACATGTAAGCCTCAGGAGAACTGAAACTTGGTTTTGTATTTGGCTTAATTTCTCTACCTGTTCCTGGCATGTGGCAAGGGTAGAGTATTTGTTAAGTCCGTGGATTAAGTGTAATGGCAATGGATACAGTGGCTGTCATGTAGTAGGTGATCACTAAAGTTTTTTCTGGCTCTCAACACCCACCAGTGCCTAGCATGTCCTCTGCAAACACAGTGGATTGGAGGTCTGTGATTTCCCTCAAACCCATGGGAGAGTTTGGAGAGGGGGTGTATGTCTAAGGAGTGGTGGAGAAGCTGGATGACCAGGCCAGGTTCTGAACGAGGTGCGGCACTGTGCGCTTTCATCTCCGGGGCACCCACCCTCCCGCAGGATGCTATCATCTGAATATTTATTGCGGTGAACAAAATTCTCCAAATCCCTTGACATACCCAATAACCACTTTATGTTGCTTCTGGGTTGTGTGGGTCAGTTGTTAAGAAAGGGCCCAGAGGGAATGCTGTACACAGAGTCTGGGCCTGGGTGGGTCAATGTGGATGGTGGTGGTGACATGCACTGCTGGGGCTGCAGCCACTGCTGTTGGAGGCCCCGCCCCCCCCAACCCCAAAAGGGCTGTTCACACTCATGTCTTGGCTTTAGGCTGAGCACTGTCTAGACTGGAACTATTGACCAGAGCACCTCCCTTTGGCCGCTCCAGCGTGGCTTCATGGAGGGCTCCGAGAGGGGAGCATACAGTGAACACGGAACCTCACAGCCTGTAATGCCCAAGCCCCTAAGTCACAGGCATCTATGATTCAAGGGGAGGGGACAGAGATCTCACTGGACTCTGGAGTCTGACCAATCACAGACTTGGAGCTGCTCTGCTGTTCTCACTTTGCATGTGGCTTCTGACAAGATATCTAACCTCTCTAGGCCCCTAGGCTGCCCGAAGCCTGACCCCTTCATGCTGAAAGCCATCAGTTCTTCAGGTCTTTCCTCACTTACCTCAACCCTCCAGAACCACCTCCCCTGGGGAAAAAGGCATGAGGAGTCCCTTTTAAGCAAAGACAATCTCTAAAAATACCAGGTGATGAAGTTGGCGCTCTGCAGGCCCCCTGCCCACTAGGAGAGCCCATACACAGAACGACTAATACGGATGCCAGCTGCCGCCCTCGGCACCAGGGAGGCTCCCTGTCGAAAGGCTGAGGAGACCCAGGCACTGAGCTGGTCCAGAATTCCCTGGGAGCCATCAGCTCCCTGTGCCCCGACATCTGAGCAATGAGGTTGCTACTCGGGGCACAAACAGTGCGAGCTCCCTCCTCCCGGGCCACGTTGCCGCCTGCAGCTGGCAGGGCCCTTCCTCCCAACACCCCGCTCATCCTCCAATGCCAGCCCAAGGCGGAGGAGGGTGTGTTTGCCCTGCTCTTCACGACTCAAGGATGCCTGTAGCCTCTTCTGTCTGTGACCGCGCATCCCCAGGGTGGCATGAAGGCAAGTGTACAAAAGCCCTAACCCTAACACTCTCCTAGTCCCTAGAGAGTGGGCAGAAACCTGCAGCTTAGCACTTTGTCATCATTGGTATCTAATACTGCTCTTAGCCCCTCCCCTGGGCCCTGCATTGAAGAAACCCCAGGGTAAAGAGTCTAGGGGACAAGGGAAGCAGCCACCCCTGTGAGACCATGCTCCAGGCACTGGAACTTCAGAATTCTCCACCTAAACAGCAGGGCCTGCTGCCATGGTCTGAGTGGGCCTCCTCCCTGATCCGCCTCTGAGAGGGAAGAGACCAGGTGGAGAAGCCTGAACTTGCTGCCCGGGGCATCCACATGCATGCCTGTGGTGCAGGGAGGCATCAGGCTCAGACCAGGAAGAGAGCACCTCTTCTCTATGGCAGGGGCACAAGTTAGGGAGGGCCTGCCCACCCTCCCCAAGGCCAAGGACCAAATCTTGCCTATGCTTTCCACAAGAGCATTAAGTTCCCTCAATAGAACATGAGCCTCACCAGGAAGCCCCTTTGTATAGTGCCCAGTGCCTTGAACAACAAACACTGCCCAGTTTAGTGCAGGGCTCAGTAATGCTTTTCACCCCCTTCACCCACCACAGTGCCCACCACATTCGGCATGCTTAGGAGTTGTTACATGCACATATGAGACTAGATGTGAGAAGACATGCTGCCAGGACTAACCTGTAGGCACAGATGCATGCATGAGATAGAGTGGGAGCTGAAAACAGATTCCCTGCCCTCAGCCATCAAGGAGCTTTTTTGAGCCCCTGCAATGGAGGAGCGCTGGGCTAGCCCCTTTTAGAGGCCCGAGGGACAGCCTCTCCCACAGGAACCCACTGCCCCGGATGCATGGACACTCCATCCATGCATCATCTGTTCCGTGTGATGTGAGAATGCAGAGAAGGCAAGTCCCGTGTTGGGAGGCAATTGCATTGAACTTGAAGACTGGGTAGGTATTTTCCAACAATGACAGGAGCAAAGGGGTTCCAGGTAGGAGCAGGACACCTGTGATGAAGGATGACTGGAGAGTCCCTGGCGCCTGGAGTGAGCAGGAACCAAGGACCTGGAGGGAGGTGGAGAGGTTTGGGGGAGGGTGGGCCTCACCTGGAAGGTGGCTCAGTTGCTGAGTTAGAAGTGGCAGGAAACAGATTCAGGATCTCACCATCCCTCCTTGCTCAGGAAGCAGGGTCAGCCATAGTCAGAGAGGACCAGAGTGGTCAGCCCTCCATCAGGTGAGGAAGACCCAGGTTGGCCACGGAGAGAAGCTCAGGGCCCTTTGGGCAGGGCTCCCTGAGGAAGACCCCAGATCTGGGAGTGACATGAGAAGGGGTGAGGGGACTGAGCATCCTCCAGCCGCCTCTAGGCCCCTGAAGAACTATGTCTGCCTCCTCCAGGGAAGGGAGGGTCTCAGAGGTGTATTCTGTCACCCTGGGCTGCCCCAGAGAGGGCCCCTGGCTGTTCTTTCATGGGATTAACTATCGTCCTTTCAAATCATTCTGAAACCTGAGTGTCAGTACCCACACTCATCCTTCCCCTTTCACCTGGGCCCCGGGAGTGGGCTGTGCCTTCGTGGCCCCATAAAGCCGTGGCTTTCAACCTCAGGTGTGCACTGGTCTTTGGATCCCCCAGAACAATCTTAAATATCCAAGCCTGCTTCTCTTTTTTCTCTTTTTCCCCCCATAAAAATACTAACTTCTTTTGTGTATGATTTGTAGAAATCAGCCATTTCTGGTTAAACTTTTCAAACACTGTAGATTTAATGTTTCCTTAAATCTTTCTGATTTTATCAATTTCAGAACCCCTAAATCCTGGGATTACAGTAAAGAAAGGTTTCTATTCCTTCTGACTATTCTTTATACAGGGGCTCCTGTCTAGAGTGGGTAATTCTTTATCTGTAAAACTGTCAACAATGAATAACCCCAAGGAAACACAATACTCTTCGGACATGCTTTGTAGCCGATCTGTTATAATGTTGAGACACTAAACGCAGTGTTTCCTGTTTCTTAGGAAATTCGCACCCCCGTAAACTAGGGGAGCTGACCCCAAACAGAAGAAGCCTGTGGATAATTTTCTAGGGCCATAGTTTGTTTGTGATTCATAAGCATCTTGTGAAATGTCGGCTAATTATCCCGTATGTCCTTAGCCGAGTCGTTGAGATTAAAAGCCAAGCTATATATACATTTTCTCTTCCAGTAAAAGCAGCTTTCAGTAATCAGTGTTTGAAATTCTTCCTCAAAATGGGTCTGTTTTTAATAAGTCAACCTCCACAGCAGAAATAAATACCTTGTCAGCTTTGGGAAAGGATCCTTCCTAGGCATCAAGCCTTCTTTTCAGGTGTTTAATGTAACTCCTCTCTTTCCGGGGGAGGATGTCTGTGTGCGTGTGCGTGAGGTGGTACAGAGTGAATGTGTAGCCCTTCTGAAGGCAACGCCCTGCTAAGTGAGTCTGTTTGGAAGAAGGGTCTGGCCACTGATTCAGCAACTCAGACCCATCCATGGACCAACCCAGAAAGGAAATATCAACCAAAAAGTTCCCAGTTTCTGTCTTCATATTCTAAAACCTAGACATGCTCTGCGGAGCCCAGGCAACTCAGGCATTGACTCTGTGTGCACAGAAGGCTCTTCTTCCTCCAGGGAGCAGACAGGGCAGCCACTCTTGGGCCCCATCAGGCTTCCTCTGGGTGACAAAAGGGATGTGTGGGCCATAGGGAGATCCCTGGCCGTCTGTCTGAGGCCTGCTCTGTCCAGCGGTGGAGACTGCCTTGTCCACAACTCCATCTTCACGGCACCCGGAGTACAGTGCCCACTTTAGGGGCTCACATGTACTCAAACGGGGTGGGCTCCACA